ATTTTATATCAATCTCTTATCACGATAAAGGTTAATATTCCTTACTGTTGCGTATTCACAAGACAAATCGACCTCCGGACAAACACTTTCGCTCTAAGCGCTTCATTTGGATAGATTTGATTGGAGTTTGATTACCCAACCAGTGAGCTCGACAAATAAATTATCTGGCAGTCTTTACTATTTCACGACAGAAAGAATGAACAAAGAAAACGTATGAAACAATAAATTTGAGGAATGTAAAATTGGTTAAATGATTCATGACATTGTTACAATCTGTGTGATTGATTTGTGCATTGCTTTTTATTTAATCATTTTATCTCATTTGGAGCTTCGCGATATTCGAATTTCGCGGCAATAGTCATTAATTTGTTGAATTTTAATCACTGGAACTTGTAACCAGGAGTTTTTTTTTTGGCTCCATCTCTATCAACAAGCAGTTTTACTTATTTCTATTGTGACCATAGTACAACTATTTCTTCCAAAATTTAGCAGCTTCTGCACTAGTTAATATTGCAAGTAATTCCAGTCGTGGCATACTCATGCTTTTAATTAGAGCGAGATTTGATTTAGCGAAAAGTAATGCTGTGTCGCTTTTGTTCGCATGTTTGTTCAAAATGTACATCGCTGCTGAATATACCAGTTGAGATGTCGATAAAAACATAAAGTTGTCATTGCTCTGAGAAGTTTGTTGTTAGCCTCGGTACTTCAATAACGTTTGTTGGCTATTCCTCTGCGAAGGATTTCCATTTTTCCTCATCGTCTTTGTCGAGGATTTGATCCCAAAAATTATTTTCCTTCCATAAACTTTAGAGAAACAGTTTGAACTGGATCATCGTGAGATTCAAAAATCCTTGGAGATCGATATTGAGAAGCAACAAACTGCACGAAGTTCCTTTTAGTGAGCTCTCGCTCCATCCATACATGGTTTTTGCGTCACTCTAATTGTCTTTATCGTTTATCCTAGTGATCTCAAGAACTTTTGTAGGACCTTCCTCGATTTAATCATATTCCGGTATTGTTTTACTGAAATCTTTTGTTTGAAAAAAACTCACGAATATTCATAGTTGCTTCCTTGAAGATAGACTTCGTGATATTCCTCCAGTGCTTTACTTTTTCCATTTGTTGACAGTATAACGTTGTCTACATAGAAATTTCTTCTAATTTCCAGTGCTGTCTGGCCTTCGTTGGCTTCTAGGTGATGAATGGATGTTGCTGATAATAAAGATGGCGATGATATTCCTCCTAAAACAATAGTATTTGAGGTTCTCTTCGGTAACTGTATATTGAATATTCCTTAATCAGAGGAACTTGTATAGTTCTTGTCGAAGGATGCAATTCCAGTTACAAAAATGGCTTCTCTATATCGGATATAATTATATTTTTATCATTCGAAGGTGCAATAGTATCCCTACTAAATCTAGAAGCATCCACGGTATAAGACTTTCAATGTTTTCCTTCCTCTGATGTGTGCAGAAACATCATGGACTATTCAAAACTTTGTTATAGATTTGTTCGAGGATATGATCTCGTGGTGAAGTAAATAGTGAATTGCACCATCTTGATCCATATCAGGATAAACTTCAATGAGTTCTGACTGTAGTCGGTCCTGAATTATTTCGTCATATCGTCGAAGTAATTCCTCATTGTTATGAAGCTTTTTGAAGAACGTTTTAATTATGTTTTTTTAAATTGGTCGAGAGCTTGCTCGTTATCGTCTTCGTTCGGTCAGTCCTGGATATCCATAAGTTTTAACTTCCAAAACTGGTCAATTTCGTGGTGGCTTGTGATATTAACCGCACATATAATGGCAGATTTATTCCATCCAATTCCCTGCTTTTCGTTATGCCATTCACATTCTGATCATTAATTTCCGTCGTTTGCAATTTATTCGTGACGTATTTTATAAGGTTAACTTCCAAGTCATAATTTCTTTTTTTCCGATTTTTCTACCAATCTCTGCCTTCTCTAAGTAACGTTTCTTCGATGTTTCATTATCAAATGAAGCAGTACTAAGTATTTTTACTTTCTATTTCTCGTTGTTTTAGCCGACTTGCCAAATTTGTTGAAATAAAGAAAAATCCTTTTAGCTTCTGATCGTCTTCGATTAGCTACTGTGCTGTTCGTTATTGTTGGTCTCTTTATTTAGTTTTTCTCAGTTAATGTCCTTGCAGTGACCGATATGCACTGATTTCTGCCGACCATTATAATGAAAACATTGTCTTCTTAGTTTTGGGCAATTTCCTTCTATACGGTCCTTTTGTAGACAAGTTAAGCATACATCGATTTATCTCAAATGGTTCATCCATTGCTTCGCGGTGAAATAGGCCAGATATTCGTCATCCCAATGATCCTTGTTGCACAATGAACAAGACTTAGTTTCGGTTTGGACTCTTTTTCTCGATTTCTCTGCTATTGTCCTTTGATCCCCAGCGGTTTGTTGCTACTAAGGCAAAGTTTTGCTTTTTATTGTCGCTCTAATCTGCGTGCACTGGTTTTTTTCCCGAATCTCGAATCCGTTGTTCCAGCTTTGAGTTCGAGTAACGTCTTCGGTTCTTGCTATTTTCCTTGGGCAGTTTCTCAATTTGCCGACTGACCAACACTTATTTTCTTGTTTTTCCTGGTACACCTTCGTTAAAATCCATCTAGGTGATTTTCTTTCAGCAGTCGTTTTCATACTCGAGTGGTTCAGTTTTGCTCCTTTAGCTTCTATTGTCCGAGGATTCGTTCAATCCCACTGATTGCCACTATCCAATCCCGGTCATTTCTTCTGATATTTTGGAATTCGTTGTATAGCGAATTCTTGATCGTCGATGTGTTGTCAAATTTCTCCCGATAATACTATAGTTTTCTAACGCGACATCGTATCCACATACTGCCTTTGAGGCTTCTCCTTTCAAGTAGAAAAGTAAGTAGTAAAGTAAGTAGCTCAATTTTTGTTTATTTGGAAGATCCTGATAATGCATTGCTTGTCATGAAAACGAAATTGTTATGTCTAAAAAACGAAGAAAATTACAATATGTTAAAACATAAGGTTTTATCCTCCAATAATTGATTCCAATCTATTCCTCGGGATTGAAGTAATGATTATACCCAATTCGCGTTAATTTTCTTAAAAATCTATCTGTATTCCTGGTATTCAGCTACATCACAAAAATCAACAAATCCTCACCCATCCATTGATAATTCCATCTCAGCAAAACAGTTTATCTTAATTAAACGTAGAAAACTAACTTTCATTTAATAAAGTTTTTAATAATATCTTTCTTTTAATAAAGAAGCAAAGAAGACGAACTTTATTAACTACGAAAAAAGAAAACCAAATTTTTTGCAACGCTGCTGCTTCGAAATTGTTCCAAAACTCCCTTCACTTTCGAGGATCTCCACTGAATAGTGTAAATAATACTTGGAGCAAGTTTACAGTTGCTTGGTAAGCCGTCTGGTCTATCCCGCCTTGGGCCTTCTGACTCGAGAACTATCTTCATGTCTTCGTATTCGTTTTATCGCGGTTTTATAAAATCGTGTGGCTCACGATCGTTTCGTATTTCACCTTTTCTTCTCCTTGCTAATGAACTCTTTAAATGATTTTGTTCTATGAATAAAATCCAAAACAATCGAACGATCCTGCATGTATCATAGTTCTAATTATCGCAAATTTCAACATTTTCAACATCCTATTACCTGTCAAGTCACAGGAAGATTTCAATTTTCGGCTAATTAATAAATGCAAGGTTGGCATTGGCTAACCTTACTGTCCGGAACCAAAATATCTTTTCCGTTTAACAACTGATCCTATAACTTGCGGTCATTTGTGATTTTGGCGGGAACAAGCGCTTCAAATTCACTCATAGCATCAGAACCATCAATTGAGCAGACTCATCTTCCAATATCAATAAATATTTCGAACAGCTAGAACAAAACAAAGACGTAAGCCCCAATGTGATAGTATCAATTGTACACCGCCAATTATATTTGCAGGAATTTTGGATTGTTTGTTATATTGTCACTCATCATTACCAAATGATTGCTTTAACGATAATGTAAATTAAAGTGTTTGTTGT